CATGTAAAACTGAAATACACAGGCTACCGGTATTGATTGCCTCTGACGGAGATGCTGACCCTAAACCAAGCAAGTGGTTGGTGAGATCTGACTTCTGCAAACTTTTCAAGCCTGAAACCAAATGATCAAAAAGCTCAGCCAAAACAAATAGTATTTTTTGAAAGGTTAGCGATAGCAGCCTAGATATGCTCAAAGTGATCCTAAACCCAGGACCCTGCATTCACTATATCTGGTCTCTCACAGTACACACAACATGGAAATGCAATTATTTTAGTAAATATAAACTGCTAAATTCCTTTTCTCATCAGCAGTTAGAGCAGTCTTGTAACTTCAGCAGAGCACTGGTTAAAGCTTGTAGGAGGAGTTTTCTTTCTTCTCTAGAAGGAAGTGAAAGTCCTGACCCTCTGTCTGGACAGTGCTGATTGGCCCTGTGCTGATCACATGTACTCTCCAAAGAAAAAAAAAAAAAAAAAAAAAAAACCTCTCTAGCAATATACCCCAAACTAAGCATGTGCATGTGACTATGGATTCAGTCTGTATCAAGCAGGGGTGGACTGACAACTCATGGGGCCCCTGGGTAATAGGGGATCATGGGACCAAATGGTCAGTCCACCGCTGGTATCAAGTGGTCATTTCAACAAAAGGAGGGACAGAGAAGAAAGGATCAAACAAAGAATCAAATGAACAGTCTTTTTACACAATGCAGAGGATTAACCCCTTAGGTTCCCAGTGAGTATAACAAGCATGCGTTACTGCATATACAGACTGATTTTACGGTTGTGGATTTAGTAACACTTCAGACAAGTTTTAACCTCCCTGGCGGTATTCCCGAGTGTAGCTCGGGGTAATGTTTCAGTACCACAAGTGGTAACCCCGAGCTACACTCGGGCTTACCATGCGGCACTGCTCTGCGATCCCTCGATCACTTACCTTATCCTGCGCTCCCGCGATGTCCCTCCTGCAGTGTCCCCGGCAATGTAATCCGGCGGATGACGGCATCTGTCATCTGGGTTCCGTCCCCTGCGAGCGTCGGGACGTACGGGGGACAGAACCGGCGGGAGATTTGAAAAAGGTAAAAAGTGACATTCACTAAAATCACATAGTAAAACATTACTGTATCAAACCATTTCACATACATTTTATCCCGAGTGCTTTGTCCTGTGCCCTGCCTGCATCTTTACTGTTCTTTCTGCCTGGAAACTGAGAAATGTCCATGGTGTCCAAAAAGTGTCCCTTTAGGTGTCAAAAGCGGTTTTAGACCAGCTAGAGAACAGCGATAGTAAATCAGAACCACTTGCAGAATTGAGTGATGATTTGTGGGGAAATTCGTCGTCAGACACTGAAAACAATTTTGCTCAGTGATGTGCGAACTTGGTGCTCTATTTCAAATTTCACTGTTTTTGGTTTGATTATATTATTGAATTAAATTTATTATTATATTATTATTTTTTAGGATTATTTATTAAATTATAATTTATGATTTCGTGTTTCAAGTTTTATCATACCTGGGATGTTTACTAGACTCTTGTTCGGACAGATTTCAGTGAGTTATTCCTAAAAATTACAGGCCTACAATAAAAAAAAAAATACATATTTCCATGCAAAAAAAGGTACCGCTTTGGGCACAGAAGTATGGACATAACCAGACCGCTAGGGAGGTTAAAAGAGGTTCACCAAAAAAGTGGTTATTTTTTGTTTTGTTTTTTTAATAAAAGGAAAAAGTCTCCTTGTGGTAGCATTAAGGTGAAGGCTACACCAATGGTTAAATCTCTTTGCTGCTGAGAGCTTTAGCTGATTATTGACATTTATCACATTCGAATTACATTAATTTCTGAGTGCTGTAAATGATTAAAATAACTGGTGGGAATGACTCTTCAAATGGGTATAATGCCACCAGGCACATGGGAGGTGTAAACAGCTCAATGGAAGTCTCTCAGTTCCCATAAAGAAAGCCTGGGACTAACCTGCACATTTGAAAAACTTTGGTAGTCAAAGAACCTGTAATGAATCCTAAACAGGGAGTAGCAGTAGTAGAAGCTGCAGGTTGATCTTCCCGTTTCAAAGTATTGTGCATTGTATCAATAAGAGCGGAAGAGGTCTTATTCACAAGGTAGTTCCCAGTACTTGGCCTACACAGCCTACTCACAAAGTGAGCATTCAGAGACTGGGTCACACCAGAGGCTGTGCAATGGGCTCTTGACCTGAAAAGGGCTCAGTGGCTATCACAATACACTCAGGTCTGGAAAGCGCATTAATGGAGAGCCCAGTGACAGAAGGCCATATTCCGGGCTACCCATACAGTCATGTTGCCCAGCGGAGTCCTGGTATGGCCTTTGAAACTAATGTTGAAGATTCACCAATCTGGATGGAGGTGCATGAAGACTAACTCAAGCAGCTTGTAGGAGAATGAAGAAAAGAAACTTAATTGTAGGAAAAAATGGCTAAGAAAAAAAAACAAAAAGTACAGAATTTTTGTTCACCAATGTGCAAAACTTCTGGCAGGTGGCAAAATAACCAATTATTGCAGAATCCAGTGTCCCTCAATGAACAAGAAATCGTATTTCACGTAGACTGGTTGCGATTTATGATGCTAGAATATAACCTAAAGACCATCTACAGTCAAAAGACTTTCCACTGATGTGAATGGAGTGCACAATGCATGCCCTTGAATAGCATATTGCAAAACTCAGAATTGGTAGATTGGCTGTTCTATAGCTTTAGACTTGAAGGTAAGTAGGATCTATTACAAAAAAACTGGGAGGAGAGAAGGCAAGTCAGAAAAAGATAGGTGCGCTAAGGGTTCATACACACTAGACAGCTGAAAAAATGCCAGAACTTCTGGCAGAAAAGACAATATAAAAAAAAACCCTCACAGTGGCTCCTATTGCGGATATGATATGGTGATTCAATTACTAAACAGAAATATCTGGGCATTTAGCAATTTCAAAAAGTAGACAATGGCAGTCTCTGTTTCTCTCACCACAGGCTTCCTTTATTCTCTTTAACTGGTTCCCAACCGCGTTATAGCCGAAGGACGGCTACAGCGCTGTTGTGTAATCCTGGGACGACGTCCATGGGCGTCATTCCAGGACACACTTCCCTATATGCGTCACAGCATGAGGAAATTCTGCCGACAACCGGTGATTGTCAGCGAAGAGATCGGCACTGATGATCACTGCCCAGCAGTGTTGCCACACCTGTGCCACCCACCTGTGCCCAGCAGTGCTGCCTTCCTGTACCCATCAATGCCACTCACCTGTGCCCATCAGTGCCACCCACCTGTGCCCATCAGTGCCACCCAGTGCCACCTATCCATGCCCATCAGTGCTGCCCATCAGTGCAGCCTCATCAACGCACATCAGTGAAGGAGAAAAATTATCTGTTTGCAAAATATTATAGTAGAAACAAAGAAAAACTTTTTTTTTTTCCAATTTTTTTGCTCTTTTTAGGTTTATAGCGCAAAAAATAAAACACCCAGCGGTGAGTAAATGCCACCAAAAGAAAGCTCTATTTGTGTGAAAAAAATGATAAAAATGTCATATGGATGCAGTGTTGCATGACCGCGCAATTGTCATTCAAAGTGTGACAGCGCTGAAAGGTGAAAATTGACCTGAGCAGGAAGAGGGTATAAGTGTCCAGTAGGCATGTGGTTACCAAGTACCCAATCCACCTTAAAGTGTACAGAAACCCCCAAAAATGACACTGTACTTGTTATCCTTTGGTCTGTTAAATGTAATTACCAAAAAGGTTGTCTAAAAACTGTTTTGCTTGATTCCTCCATCAACAAAGCCATTTTTGATGGGGGAATCCCTCTCACAGAGCTTTTGTGTTCTGCTGGAGGGCGGAGGGCGGTTTGCGAGGGGAGCAGTCCCTGTTGGGAGAACACAATGATTATTGCTAGCGGCTATGGCCTCTGTCAATAATCCTATGCTAGAAATCCAACATGCTGATTGTACCATTGTACCATAGTTGATCAATGGATCGACTTGGGTACAATCAGCCTGCCCACAGATGGATCAAATCACGGCCAGGCCAGATTCAAATAGTCTATGGCCAGCTTAACTAACCCTCCTAATCCTTATCCTTGACTACAGAATGAGTAGTCTCAAATGTGTAGATAATTTGATAAGAGCCCTGGGTAATTTAGCTGAAGAAAACTTGGCAGGGCAGAAACACAAAAATGCTTTGTGTTGTCAACCCAGAACAGGACTTAGTAGCGGAGTGCATTACTGGAAGATCAACAGGTAGTTTTTTTGTACTAGCAGGGTTTTTAAATAGATAAAAGATGGGGAAATGTGCATGTAATCAGAGATCTTTACTGCATTTTTATTCTTATGTTGCCCCGACATACACTTTAATAAACTACACGTGACTATTTAGGCAAAATGGTTTACACACGTAGGTGGCAAAGAGTTTGCAGTTCAACAAAACAAAATCTCTTATGATGCAATATGTAATACTTACAAGACAGTTTCATGCCACACCTAAATAATTAGTGCTCCATGCAGCCTACTTGTATGTGGTTTCAGTCATTTAATCTTTCTGAAGTCACACTTACAAAATATTCTAAAAGGTCTTCCTTATACAATGCATATGTGGCCTCATACCTCAGGAATAGCACCAATTTCCAGTGCGCTAACAAAGCTCTTAAGATAGCTGCTTCCATTACCAAGTTTATTTCAGTACAAAAAGAAATGAAACTCACAGTAATTCAATAAGCCAAATCCAACTGCATGGATTACTATACTTGAGTAGCTGGCAGGTTCACTTAAATAGGTTTCAGATGTAAAGTTTACTAACTGAATTGTGAATGGTCAAGCTTGCGATTCCTCTTGTTGGAAGTGCAGAGCTGACCATCCATATCTGCTTTATCGTGATGTGTGAACTACTTACAGTACAAACAAAACAGATATTTTCTCCTGCTTGTTTCTTAATGGAGTCTTGTCACCCCTGGCTCAAAGAAGACATAAATGGTTTTACTTTGGGCTACATTACATTACCTCTGTCTTCCATAAACTTGTAAAGTTGCTGTAGGAAGTTGTCCCTTTCTGCAGGGTCTGCCTCCTCCTCAGGCTACAAGATAAAGAAACAAGTAAATATATATATATATATAAATAAGAAAGCTAAAATTCTGAACATATTCAAGGTTTACATATTGCAAGAATGGTTGTGCATGTAAACCACAGTGAAAACATTTGTCATCAACGTACATCCATGAAACAAGAATAAAGGATTTTGGTTATTGTAACAATAAAGAGTTGTGTAGGAAACTAATAGTAACACACACTCATCAACTGCTGGCATCAAGTCCCGCCACATTTACCACAGGCAAAGACAGATGTTTGTAGCATTACTTCGCCCATTTGGAAGTTTTTTTTGTCAAAAGCAAGTTTAAAAGATGTTGCAGTCACTAGGAAATTGCCTGTTGGTAATGCAAGCACTAAAGCTCTCTTCAGCAACACTTCACTGTATTCTGCTGAAAAAGCTATTGAAAAGGATTTTGTGTTTCTTTTAGGGTCCAATATACACATGAATATACTTAAAATCACAGTTTAGAGAAAAGAGGAGAAAGTTATCAACTCCAATAATGTTAACGATCTGACCAATTTGAGGTTTAGTGTGGCCATTAGAATTATTGCTAACCTCTTTAAACCAAACCTTATTTCAATAATGCAATAAAGGCAAACTAACTTACCCTCCTAGCTGAAGGTGGAATTTCCACAAGTTTTGAGGTTGTGAACTAAACCTTAAAACTATGTGTTTATTAATGAAATCTGGATGGCAAGTATAACCCTTCCTGGTAAGCCCGGATTTTTTTTTTTTTTTACATACATTTACTATTGAATTGTATATTAGGCTCAGGTCTTTGTGGACTTTTGTCTTGAAGGTATGCTTACGCGAAAGATGGTGTCCTATAGTTTCACAATTAGCTGTGTTGGCCACTGAATTTTACACTGTAAACTATAAAAAATTAAATTCTGTCCAGTTCTATTTAATCATACGCAGAATGGGGGATTGGTGTGAAGCAAAAAACACTCATCAGCCTCCCTGCTCTAACGGAGCTCTGCCATTTATTGCTATTGTTTCCGGACTCTCATCTACGCCTGCACATAGCAATGTGAAGTGAGATCCCTGAAACAAAAAAAAACAAAAAAAAGCAGAAGATAACAAGTTTGACCAGAAACCTCCCAGTTATCCATTCAAACTAAATGGTTTTAGAACAGAGTAGAGATGCATGTATGCCTCCTACTTTTAAAGTTGAAAGTATCTGGATATTTGAATCTAACTGGCTGCAAAGAGAAAATGAAAAAAACAAGAAAAAAAAAAACCCACAACACACCCATTTACTATTAGTTATATACTTTTATACTCAAGTGCCCATGTAATTGTTTTATGAATGGAAGAAGGGAATGAGTGAAAGCCAATATTTTGAAGGTATGCTGGGTTTTCCAAAGTGTGACACCATTGGTGTTACTCATCTTCATTATAAGTTTAATGGATCAATGTTCTTACCAAGATCTATAGTTATGTTCCACAACTCCATGTTTCCTGTCACATTAAAAGTTTTAATGGGCCAACTTGGTTCAAATGAATGCTTACAGTTACAGAATGGTCCAGCCACTACAATAAGCTGTGCAGTCTTCCTGGATGAGTCTTTACACACTAACCTTCTGCATCTGGAAAGAAACAGTTAGTCCTACAACACCTCAGCCATTCAGGAACCACATTGTATCTATCAGTTAATACAGGGTGTTCTTTGACTGGGCTAGGTGCAAAGGTGGGTGGATGACAGGCGCAGAAGGGAAGGGTGAAGGACTCGGCCAGGACAACAGGACAGCTTAGTGTATGCAGCACAAGCTGGTACAGTGTATTACAGCCTCAAACATGGATGAACTTTTCTTTAACGGTAAGACCCCTCTCACACTGCCAGGTTGGTGCTGCCGTCAGTTTCTGTGGCAAGAATCTGCTAATTCTTGCTGCTGGAATGACTGTGTTATGCGATCAGCTGTCTATTTAACTACTTGCCAACCGCAGATAGCCAAATGATGGTTACACTGTGGCCAGCCAGTTCTGGGAGGGCGTCATATGACATCCTCCCAGAATGCACTCTCCTGCGTGCCCCCGGCGATCTCCATAATCACTGTGTCCTACAGACACAGCTGATCATGTGATGTGGTAAAAGGCCAATCACAGCGGCCTTTTACCACGTGATCAGCCGTGTCCAATGACACGCTGATCACCGCGAAATGCAATTGCCGGTTCTCGGCTGCACTGTCAGAGTGTGAGAAAAGTACTGCCGAGAACTGGCAGTTGTCAGAGCAGGGATCAGCACCGATCATCAGGGCACTGATGATCAGTGCCTGATGATCAGTGCCCAGCAGTGCCACCCACCAGTTCCGCCCACCTGTGCCCAGCAGTCAAAGTGCGACAGCGCTGAAAGCTGAAAATTGGCCTGGTAAAGAAGGGGGTACAAGTGCCCGGTAGGCAAGTGGTTAAACTAATGGCAGGCTGACAGCGGCTTCTGCTGTTCACATGTAGTCGCACAAAGAGCGGTTAGCTGCAGCCGCACCAACCTGGCTGTGTGAAGAAGACCTAAGCATTCATTTAACCCAAGCTGACCCAAAATAACTTTTTAAAAGTGTCAAGAAGCCTTGATTTCTGGTTGAAACTTTCAAGGCACATGTGAATCTGACTAATACCTAATGGGGAAGTAGCTGAAGTTCTCAGTTAAAACATATTACTGTCAGGGCCTGGGTGCTCACTTTACTGGGTTCTGGAGCATATTTAGTATGCAGATTTAACATACGGACTGGCGATATCTGCTTTTGTGGGACCTATTGGCCTCATTAAAGGGAACAATTTTATGCTTTATTGATGGCTGCCTAAATGAGTAATCACAGCCAAGCAGAGCAGATTTACCTAGAGAATGCACATGTGGCAATGATGGTACATGAATGATCACACTGGGCTCAATTCACAAAGATAAGGAACTTTTCAGTTATGTGACTGCCATGTTCAAATATCATCAAATTCAACAAAAAATAATCGTCACTTTTTTCTTTAACCTTTTGTTTTAGCTTTGTGTATTGAGCTTACCGTACACAATAGTACGTTTAGGTAGAGATTCCTAAGCTTTTCAGGTGTTCTTTGTGTGCATCTTTGCATTGACTGTACTATTTTACAGGCTGTGGCGTTATAGAAAAATCACGGCAAACCAAAAAAAGAGAAATGTACAGCTGCATAAAACCTGTCCATGTGCTGTGTGCTGTCTTCATTGTGCTGTATTAGCAAAGGAGAGACAGGCAGGCTAGTCATAAGGGGAGACGTTAATTGGAAATGGCATGCACAATAGGAAGTACAGCATGCAGGAAAAAATGGCTGAATACATGCCATCCCACACCAGTGAGCACGTTCATTCAGCTCCATGCTAGAAAATACAGATGGATTTATTAGTGAAATGAAGCTTCTGGCTCAAACACACCCACCTGCTCAACATATGACCAGATCACTGCTAAGCAGCACAGATTCTAGCACAGTGTTCAAAACACACAGTGCAAGACAACTTAAAAAAAAATCCCCTCGGGCCTTCTCATAACACTCGGGACCCCCTCTTTTTATTATTTTATATACAGAAAAATAAATATATATATCTTATTTTTAGCCAGAGATAACATTCCTTGCAGACATGCTGTGGTAATCTGCAGACAGTAGAGCCATGCAAACTATTTCCTCATCTATATGCATGAATGTTTTTTGACAGCTCTCAACAAACAATACCTAGTCATGGTAGATGATTATGATGTAAACCTCATGCATGTGGACTCGTGCACCTTCAAGGCTTTAAAAAAAGAAAGAAGGTATTTATTCCTATGTGCTGCAACCTAACTCTGTAAGAGGCTGTGATCTATAGCTCGGCCTTACCGTTCTTCTATGCTGCAGGTCGACTTTAACTTAGCGTCTGTGCACAGATAGGAAAAAGCACCCAAGCGCTTAATGATTTGCAGGCTGGAGCAAGTACCCACCCAGTGACAAGGGGGGCAGATCATTCCTGATCTCTTTATTAAAAAAAAAGGTAGGAAAGGGAACGGCAGCACACTTATTGTCTGCTAGCGTGCCCTGCCTCCCCATGTCAGTAGCACTCTGTGCATGCCATTCTGCTGGAGGCTTTCATACTTCCTTCTGAGACCAACACTGAAAGATTAATAGGGCTCACTCCGGAGCATATTTTCACTGTCCAACTGTACTGGCGTTGCCACAGACCAGATATAATTACGTATACAGAGTGGCTGATACAATGCAAAAGCCCACGCACTCTCCCCCCTCTCTCTCCCCATCGGCACAGCAGAAATAACATCACATCATGCTTACCTACCGACACAGCTTTCCCTTTCAAAAAGAGAATTGTTCATGCATGTCCTAGCTAGCAGGCGTGTGTCTGTGCTGCTTTTAGACAGGCCTGCTCTGGGTCTCCTGCCCAGGATAGCTATACACTCGCAGCCTTGCCTGCATTCCCTCCCGTATGGGAAAAATCAGACATTACATGAAGAAAAGAAAAAGACAGCCCCGTTTCAAAGCATCTGGCGAACCTCCCCTGGCAGCTTGCCAAGCCTCTGCTCAACCTTCCTGTCTCCGTAGAGCATGCGTGCTCTATGCCCAGCACCATGTTTCCATGGCAACACTCTAGGCAGCCCCCAAGTAGGGGGGAGAAAGCAGTGTTTTCACATAGACAAAAAAAAAAAAAAAAATCCCATCAGCAATCGTATAGGGGGGAAAATGTTTCAGTACAACCAGACACAATAACCACATGAAGTGTCCTACTATGTGCTGTACTCTCCTCATTCTACCATGTGCCGATGTGAGGAGTAGGATTCAGCCTTCATACAATGGCTACACTCATCTGGGAACAGAACAAAAGGACGAACATTACAAGCCAAGCCACAAAGTCACCCCTTACTTCTCTGTTCAAACCATATGCCCCTCCTAGCAGCAAGGGACGTACATGAGGTCATCTGCGGGCACATGGGTCAAGGACATCGAACTGGATGAGACACAGCAACCCTTTCACTACTACA